GGCGTGTACTCATTAAGGTTTTTATTCCCGTGGTATATCTTATGAGAAGTTAAAGGTGCGTGTGTGTGTGTGTGTGTGTGTGTGCGTGTGTGTGTGTTTCACTCACCAAAGTTTTTATTCCTGGGGTATGTCTTATGAGAAGGTGTGTGTATATGTGTGCTTGAGTATGTGTGCGTGGGTGTGTGTGTGCGTGTGCATGCGCATGCGTGCGTGTACACTCACCAAGGTTTTTATTCCTGGGGTACGTCTGGTGAAGCTTGAGAGGTTCCCCTAGCACCGGCCAGTTAACGCCTGACTCGACCTTCCTCAAGGTCACCTGGACTTTCCCACTGACCACCGACACTGCAAGAGACAAGGACGAGGACGAGGTTTAATGGTTGAACAAGCAGCCTTCTAAAATGACGACAATAAAAGGCATGAACCAGGTTCAGCAGTAAACCCTTCCAGCCCCAGCTATTTTTGTGCACTCGCTAACCCCAGTCCCAGCCCTACCAGCCAATACAGCGATATTTCAGAAAAAGAGGCATGCATTCTAAAAAAGTGATGTAGTATCTTTGTCATGAGGTTTAGATAATAACATGTTTTAAGGTAAAAGAACAAATATTATGAAAATTAAAGTTTAATTAGAAGGTTCACAAATTTTGAAAAATGCGCAAATTCCGTACCCCCCCGAAACAAAATACGCTCTTGGGACGGTGGGAGGTACAAGCACTGCTGAAAATATATGCGCATTTGGTAGGAAGGGTTCAACTACCAGGGCTCCAGGATGAACAACAGGGGAAGGCATGGACAGAGTTCAACAGACCAGACTGAGAGACATGCTTTGAGAGCTGTGAAAACCCCTGTAGGCCTATAAGTTAAAGTAGCTGTTTAGTTTTTTGGGGTTTTATTTAGCAAGTGTTTTATGGCACTTGCAACACAATAAGGTCATATGAGTCCCTAAGATTAGAGGTGTTACAAGAGAGTAACAAACACAAAAAAGAAGGAGGGGAGATAAGGACGATAGATGTTAGATAGGAAGGAAGAAGAAAAAACCACACCAGAGCACCCGCCAACCACCCACGTACAAGACCCGACATCAAAATACTTTTAGTACAATTTCTGACAGTTCACAGTCACACCCAAACGTCACTTACCAGTACAGCTGTCAGACAGAGGCTTGTGCGGGTCTGGGGAGAGGGGAAAAAATATTGCATGTCTTTAGTTTAAGTTTCGTAAGAGTTTTACAGCACTTACAAAAAAGAATAGGTCATAAAGTGCAAAAGATTAGGTTGTTCTAGAGAGTAACATGCACAGAAAAGGAGAAGAGATAAAGATGATAGATGTTTGATGGGAAAGAAGAAGGACAGCACACCAGAGCACCCACCAACCACCCAAAAATATACATCCTATATAGTCACTGACATGTTTGAAGAATGACAACTCTCGTCATGACCACCTCCACTGGAGAGAGAGAGAGAGAGAGAGAGAGAGAGAGAGAGAGAGAGAGAGAGAGAGAGAGAGAGAGAGAGAGAGAGAGAGGGAGAG